ATGCATAGAAGAAGGGGCCTAAAACAGAAACGGGTAGCTAAAATGTTGAATCAATAAGCAATTGTCAGTAAGCTAAAAGCATGGGACATTTCACCTTTGCTCCTGGGGGAAGGGACTTTATTGCCATTATCTGATGACGGGAGAGAGAAAATAGCCTCTGCATGAATTAAATGACGTTAGTTGCAGATAGGCAGGCTGAAGCATCCATCACTCGGCTTGCAGACAGTTATGTCAAGCATAGCACTGCTGTAGAAATATCTAATATTAAAAACATTCAGCTCAACAAATAAAGAGTTATCAATCACCTACATATATTCTTGTAAATTGATGTCAACCAAGTAAATGGCAGAGTACGAAATAAATCTTCTTGCCCACCCACCTCATTTTCTTTTTTTTCCCAGTTCATATAAAATAAAACATTTAAATATTTTATATTATTATAAAAAAATAATAATTTGGAAACCAGTTTATGTTGACGCTATAGCAGTAATATTTTAGTTTCTACTTCTACTGTAGTTTTAGTTTACCACAAAAGTAACCCTAAAGAGCTTTTTATGCTTTTTATAGCATTTACATGTCATGCAAACCACATCGCATATTTAAAGCGAATTAAATTTAAGCCACATTTAAGACGTCTCCTGTACATATGACTGTCATAATATGTCCCCAGGTGGCAGTCATAAGGAACTTGTTTGTGAAAATGTCGTGTTTACGTTTGTGTCTCAGCATGAGCATTTACCCACTATTGAACATAGTTGCTGCATCCGAAATCAATTACTTCCCTATTATACAGTATGCAAAAAACAATACGCCAAAAGAGTATTATGTCCTAATTCGTAGTATTTAAAAAAAACAGTAGGCGAAAAGTTCCTGAGTGACCTAGTACTTTCGCCACGATTCTAAAGTGTAGATTCAGTGGACACTTTACAATCCCATGAGGCCACAGGAGAGGATTTATGAATGGTAGTGAAGCGATGCAACTAACATTGGTAGGTCACGTGACAGTAATAACTTGGCAGATGTAGTATAGCTGAATTTCATGTACACTATATAAAGCGTACTTTTAATGGTTGTGAAGTAAGTAAATTCAAATGTAGTACCTACTCAGTATGCCTGCTATTACGTCCATTACTTTTGGAAGGAACATATAATGTCTAAGGCTACAGTGTTAAAGAGAATAAATAATTATTTTTGACTTCTTTATTTATATTTGTCCGCTTTACAGAAACAGCAGGTGCTAAAGATGACGTTAGACAAATATCATTGGCATTTTTACATTGCACTTGTAGTTTTTATTGTAATACGTGACATCCGGTCAGACTGTCACATACAGTATCTTTACTGTGCAAGTTGAGTGAATCTGAAGTTCGAAACAAATCGGATCTGAAAATGTCGCTGTGACGAGTGGGGCGGGGCCGAAAGCCGTGGGAACGGAGCGAGGCCGGTGGAGTAAATTATAATGATCGACACCTGCGCTCCTCTCGAGTCCCACGGAGGAGCTTCGGGAGGATAAAAGGAGGAGTAACGACAGTGAAGGACGAGAGAGGACCAGGCCTGGATTTTATGTTGTTATTTTATTACGTTATATGCAGCAGTCGTCCGTGAGGGGCTGCCGCTTTTACTTTCATTTTGTGTTTGTTTATTTATTTATTAAAGTTTTATGTTTAAATATTCGCCGGTTCCCACCTCCTTCTTCCCGATCTACGAACGTTGTTACAGTCGCATTGGCAGAGAACTCCCACAACTCTTCCTGTCTACAGTCTTGCATTTGTCGTAAACATTTATTCTATTGAAAAGCAAGCGTTTGGTAAACCTGTTTCAAAACTGTCATTATTGATGTCTTTCAATTACTCCAATTACTTAATCACACTCAACTGTATTATATTTTAGATACCTTGTCTTATTCATGTGCTCTCCGGTTTATTAATAATTGTCCATTTTACACACAAAGCAGGTGATTTTGCAGGTAAATGACTTTAGACAAATATCATCGCTGTTTTTACTTTACACTTAAAGTTTTGATTGGAATACATCGGACCATTGTTGAAATAGCAAAAACGTTATAACGGTTTCTAAGGGTGTGTTCACACTTGTCATGTTTGGTTCGAACCCTGGTGCGATTGCTCTGTTAGTGAGGTTCGTTTGAGTAAGTGTGAACACTGCCATCCGAACTAGTGGTCGACCGATATATCGGCCGATATTTGGAATTTTTCAAATATCGGCATCGGCCGATTCGTTTTTCTGTTTGGCCGATGTGTTCGAGGCGGGACTTTTATTTTGACGGCGCTGAGAACGGCAGCACCTGAGCGCCCACCACTCACATTCTCCCTCTTGTTCGCTGTCGTCGTTCAGTTCTGTCTAATATGGATAGAAGTCTATCTAATAATCAGATAGAACTGTTAAACAAAGGAATTAAATTGTATACAAAATAGTATTATAACAATTGCTTTATTATTAGTAAAAGCAAGGCAAACATTATAATACTTTCTCGTTTACCGTCAGCATTCAGCAAATATGCATTTATATCATTTAAACAAATCTTTGAATGACTAATGAACATTTAATTTCACAAACCTTGCAGACTTAGTCGAATCTAGTTGAGATCTTGTGAAGTGTGCATTTGTATCCTGCATGATCGCGTGTTTTCTGCGTGACGGTCGGGCCGTGCAAATTGAATGCTGACAGGAGGAGATTTCAGCTTGACTGGAGACGCACGATCGACAAACTTTAAACTAGTGATTTCAAATTATGCTGCACTTTATGCATTTGCCCAATGTCATATTCCTGTCATTTTCATTGCGTGCTGTATGTAAAATGAGTGTTACCTTGGCTTTATTTGAAAAAAATATATATATATGATTCCCAATGCACACAAACTGAATACTGAGTGCCCTGTTAGTGTTTACTTCCTTTTTAATTAGATTTTTATTAAATATTTATTTATTTGTGAAAAATGCTTTGTCTTCTAAAGTATGTTTATTTTACACAATTATTTTTAATCCATTTTCAAATTATTAAAAATTTCTTAAATATAAATTAAAATAAATAAAATTATATCGGCTTTATATCGGCCATCCTGCTTTCCAAGATATCGGCATCAGCTGTCAAAAAACCCATATCGGTCGACCACTAATCCGAACCCTGGTGTGCCCCAAACAAGCGGACCGAGACCGCTAAAAAGTTGGGTCTCGGTCCGCTTCCAAATGAACTCTGGTGCAGTTCGAATGAAATATGAACGCAACACGGACCAAATACTTCTAAACGAACCAAAAACAGGAAGTAATGACAAGATGCGACGCTATGCGACATGATTTGACGACACGGTGTAACCAAAACAAAATGAGCGGAGGGCAAACGTGGAGCAACGATGAGGTAAAGTGTCTTTTATGAGCTCCTTGTGAGTTTGCAGGTACTGATTGGTTAATGGGTTGATATCATACACCCGCAGCACCACTTTAAGTCTAACGCAACTTTTGTTTTGGGTGTTCGGCAAGTTCCGTCACGATATATACGTCATTCAAGCAGTCCAATCAGGTTGTGAACATATCACTATGCCTTTAGGTTCGCTGTCAAAAATGCCAATGTGAACGCTAAGCAGACCAGGACCAAATGTATCATTTTCCTTTTTGGTCCGGACCAAATGAACCAAACGATCCGAACTACAAGTGTGAGCACACCCTAAAATGTAAAATAAACATAACTGTCATATAAAAAGCCTCAAATAAGTACTTTTTTGCAATTATACTTAGAATTTTTTTGGTATTTGTAATAATGTTCATGAAATTTTTTGACAATTCCCCATTCATTTCTGACCCGGCACAGCAGTATCAAAACAAAAGAAATTATATTAGAAACAAGTTATTGATTGCATTGAAGCAGGACGTTTTACATCCATTAAAATGGATAAATCAACAAACAAATCAGACAAGGCACCACCAATTTAGGAACCGCAATTGTGGTCTTGACCAATAAAATTCCTAGTCCTCTTAGTCGGAGACTAAGACAAGACAGAGTACAAGTGCAGTGGAGACCGAGACCAAGACCTTCAAAAAATCTCCTTGAGTCTCCTCAAGACCAAGACCGGCCTTGAGTACTACAACATTACTGCTGATTATTAATCAGTCTTCCAGTAAACAAGATTCCATCTCAGTCTCCTGACTGTCACTATAATATATGTTTTCTCTCTGGAAATTGCCATTTCATTGGATGGGAAGCAGTTTGCTTGAAATGAAGAGCTATTAGTTCCCAGAAATGGTACAGAGGTTGGGAGGCGGTATGATCTTTATGGCTACACACACAGGAGAACTCTGCTCAGCGTGGATTGGCCATACAGCTAATCTGAGATGGCCCTCCAGCTATCCCCAATTCTCATACCAATATGTGAACACAATCAAACCATCTTTTAAATGTGACACCGTGTGCTCATCTGAAAACATGTGATTTGCATTAGTTTATTAGGCTGCCCTACTTTATCCTATATGAGAAATGGAGAAGCTGTCTGGATGCATTAAATAAGGTTGCTCTTTTAAAGCCCAATTGCTGAGGAGCAGCATGGTGTATTGATATCAAGTGTTTTTGGGCCATTATTAGTACTAATTTATTACCATGTTCTTGGGCGAGATATTGAGTAATGCCACCAAAAACAGCAACAAAGAATGATTAATACTGATGTTTCCTCTCTTTTTTGAGCAATTTTGTATGTCTCATATTACTGTCTATTTAAGATGAATCACTTATGTTGTTGTATTCCTCATTTGTAAGTCGCTTTGGATAAAAGCATCAGCTAAACAAATCCATGTAAATTATTTTACGATAATATATGCATAAGCATAATATTTTGCTTTTTATAGGTATGGTGTGCAACATTTGTGATTTTGTTCTCTCTCTCTGTGCTCATCCAACATGATAAAAAAACAAATTTTCCATCTACTTGAAGGATTTTTTTTTTCTTGCATTGAGATTATTAAGACATTTAAATGGTGTGTTTGTTTTTGTCACAGGCTAAGGACAGTGACGATGATGAGGAAGTCGTTCATGTCGACCGAGACCACTTTATGGATGAATTTTTTGAACAGGTAAACTTGATCTTGGAGTAAAATATCATCCTATCCAGTTACTATTTATGCAGATGTAGTTGATTTGATTTGCTCATCAGGTTTTGTTCATATCAACTTGAGTGTTGCTGTCAATTTTCCAATTCAACTTAAATATGGAACACACTAAATGACTTTTGCAATTTGAACAGATTTTAAAACACTAGGCATCATACACTTGTCAACTTTGTAAATGGTTACCGAGAAAAAAAACTGGGCATCGTATGCTAAACGACTGGCGATCACACACTAGCAGACTTTCAAGTCGTACCGGACACAACAAATTCGCACCGAAACATAAGCTTTGAAAACATGTGTTCTCAAAATATTAGCTGTTTGATATACTCTGACTGGATGTACTCATAGTCTGAAGCTAAAAAATCTAAATCTGTGCCCAGCAAACACTGTGTGATTTTCTGTGAAATCTGTCAACTCTGAATGCAGACTGGCTCTGACTTTTTAGCAACTAGCGTTGGCTCGTCTAGACTGCAAATTCTGACAAATATCTGTACAAAAGATGTGTATTCCAGCCTTTACATATTCAAACTGTAATATAATTTGCAATGAAAACAGTTGAAGTAAATCCAAGTAGATTCTAAATATTTAAAGCTAAGAAATAAAACAAAAGAAAGCTCTTCTTAAAAATAATCAAGGCATGGTTTCCATACCAGCATGATACTTACTGATTTTTATGCAGTTCATACTGTAATGCAGTTTAGTTTCTGCATGCTTACTTACTAAAAATTAACATAATATCAAATTAGTTTCTACAGCTAACATTTCATGCGACAAGATATAATATGGTATCTTTAATATAGGATACAGAAGTATTATTAAAATGATAAAATATTTTATAGTTGATTAATTTATAGAATTATGAATTTAATATATTAAATTGTTCCACATTATTTAAGCTGCTTAAATGATTGTCTTATCACAGAGCATGACAATATGCAATTAGATTTGGTCCTATTTGCAAATGTCACTGTATTGACGCATTATTTAACGCATGTTCACCTGACAGGTGGAGGAGATCCGTGGCTGTATTGAAAAGCTGTCGGAGGATGTAGAACAGGTCAAGAAGCAGCACAGTGCCATCCTAGCAGCACCCAACCCTGATGAAAGTGAGTTCCAGCCATCAGCACACAGTTTTATCGAAAATATCATCTCAGCGTATACACTGCATCTATGAAAAAGCATTTAATGTGGTTTAAAAATGAACATTCTGCCTAGAAGGTAGTTCCTTTTTAAGGACACTAATGTATTGTATATGACTCCTCATCAGTGAGATGGTCAGGCATGCAATTAAAAAATAGTTTTACCTCCCCCATATCCATCCATTCGCACATAGAAATACACCACGTGGACACATGTTTGTGAATGTATATCTTTATCTCAGGGAAAGATGACAAAGTTTTACATTACCAGTCACATCCACCCACGTCTTCAACATTAACAGTGAAGCACTGGATATATTTGCCTGGTCTACTATACTGCTCGCCCTTAAAGGGATAGTTCACTCAAAGATGAATAATTTACTCACCTTCTTTAAATAAACGTAAAAAAAAAATATTTGTGTGCTGTATTGAAGTAAAAAACAAAAACAAACATAACTTGTGTGCTGTATTTAAAATCTTTCCATGGGGAACAGATGAAAACCTTAGTTATTAATAAATTCAGAGTCATATGGACTATTTTATGTGCAGAAGGTGAGTAAATGAACAATTTGAATTTTTCAGTAAACTATGCTTTTAAAGAAATAGTTCACCCAAAAATGAACATTTGCTGAAATTGCACTCACGTTCAGACCATCAAAGATGTAGATGAGTTTGTTTCTTAGAACAGATTTGGATAAATTTAGCATTACATCACTTGCTCAACAATGGATTCTCTGCAGTGAATGGGTGCCGTCAGAATGCGAGTCCAAACAGCTGATAAAAACATCACAATAATCCACAAGTAATCCAGACCACTCCAGTCCATCAGTTAATGTCTCGTGAAAGGAAAAAGCCATTTTAACTTTAAAAAACCCACCAACAAATTTGTTTAGAACTGTTTTTGCTTGTAGACGGTGCTTGATCTATGCATATTTCTCCCCTGATTCAGACGAGACAACGTTTTTACTGGAGAAAATGTTATCATGGATAGAGGACTTTTTTTACAAACACACAGCTTTTTAGTTCACAAGACTTTAACGGATGGACTTGAGTGTGGATTACTTGTGGATTATTGTGATGTTTTTATCAGCTGTTTGAACTCTCATTCTGACGGCACCCATTCACTGCAGAGGATCCATTGGCGAGCAAGTGATGCAATGCTAAATTTCTCCAAATCTGTTTTGATGAAGAAACAAACTCACCTTCATCTTGGATAACCTGAGGTTGAGTAAATTTCCAACAAATGTTCATTTTTTGGGTCAACTATTTACTTTAAAACATGTACAACCCCTAAAAAATTTGCAAGTTATACATGCATACTCTCACAATGCAAGTTGCGAGGATTGCAAAATCTATAAAGTATTTATCGCATTTGGAAAGCACCAGCTCCATGACTTCACTGCAGCTGTGTGGCAAGATAAATGAGCTCATTGGTGAGCCTATTCAAGCCTTTCTCCAATACCTTGCATTTGTGCCACCCACTCTTCAAAAGAGGCACTGCCACCACATCGCTTTAAGTGTTTGTTAGACTCGGCCCACACACCTCACAGTGCACCAGCCCACACTGCATCTATAGAGGCTGTTTCTTCAGTCCTCAAATGTTGCTAAAAAATCCTGCTCACCTCATCTTTCCCCAGCAACAGTCTTCAGTTGTGGCAAATGTCTATGAGTGTCCGAGTCATTCCAGTATTGTCTGTGACTACTAATGTGTGAGGTCATTCTGACAGAGCAGCTCTTTAGTAAGTGTGCATGTGCAGTAAGTCGACTGTCAAATCAGTGAAGTTACAATGGTATTTAATGAAAAAATGCTTCCGTTCAATCAGTTATTTGTATAGGTACTCAAATATTGCTTCTAAATTGACAAATAGAAACGTGAAGTATATATTGTCGATGTTAAAATACGTTTATCCCACTTTTAAGCAGAGACAACCATAAGGTTATTCATGGCTGTTTTTGCTGAAAAGTAACTGAAAAGTTCAAACTAAATGCAAAGTCATTATTTTTGCAATTCCTTTTTGTGTCAAATGACATTTTGCCACAAACGCTGTTCATATGCCTTATTGAACCAAGTGTGCCCTCTGAGCTGCCTGGCTTAGTTCAAGAAATCCACAGCCTACGAATGACTCAGCTGCTATAGATGAATCTTTAATAAATGACGTCTCGTTGTGTCTGACAGTTTTGTTTCAGTTTCATACATTTGACTGCATGTGATTCACTTTGCATGGTTTCTTTGTTTCTGTTAAGTTGTTGCATGCATGCATAAGAACATTATTTTCTGTTGTTGTTTTTTTTTCTGTTCGCTTTCCTCCCTGTCTGTTTTTACCATGCTGCATGAAGGATGAAGGGAACCTGTGGAAGTTGAGTGTCTGTCTCTCGATATCTGTGTCAGTGTGAACCGGAAACCCGAGGAGAGATGGAGAATATATTAAATAAAGTCATTCTTAAAGTAACAGTGCACCCAAAATGAAAATGTCCTTATTATTTACTCACCCTCATGTCGAACAAGATGCACTTTTCATATACATTGCTGATTAGTTTCACAAGTTGAAATTATTAAAATAAGTAATAATGTGTTGTTTCAACTTAAAGTAAAGTCCATACTTGACTTAAACTAAATTAAAATTAACGTAACTAATAATTTTAAGTTGTCTCAACAAATGTTAAGTTTAAGACAAAATTTTTAATTTTAAGACAACAAAAGTGGATGGTGATTTATACACTCATGCTCCAAAAATTGCAAAATGAATCATTTTAGTAGTCATATGGACTACTTTTCTGGTATCTTTTGTACTTTTTGGTTGTATAAATAACCATCTACTGTCTTTTTATGAAAAAGGATGCCCAGACATTCTGCTTAAGGTCTACTTTTGAGTTTCGCAAAATTACACACAGCTAAACGACATGGGAGTAAATATATAAGATTACATTTTCATTTATGTCTTAAATGTTTATGTCTTAAATGACATTAGTTGTTCTCCTCTTCAGTTCCAGTGTATGTAGTGTTGTGTGTGTTTTTGTCTTTTATTCAGCTTGTAATGTTATACATACAGTACAGTACATACTGCATAACAGGTTTAGAAGTATTCAAGGTTTATTGCCAAGGCTTTGAATTCAATCACAGGAATACATACAAAAAGGCAAAGACAGACACTGCTCTGTCATTTTTCATTTAGCTGATGCCTTTTATCCGAAATACCTTACTTTGAATACATTCCCAGGAATATAATCTCAGTTGCTGGAAAGTTCATGGGTCACCCCTACTTGGGATCAAGCTAACTTTTGTGTTTGCTGCTTAGATCCTTAACCAAGGCTGCAATACCATCCCCCTCGCCCTCAAGTGATCTCAGTAAAATTTCTGGGTCAGCACTTCTCGACACTAATCCACAACTTCTATGTTAGCAGCCCAAATTCTCCATTAACTCTCCAACTAAAGCATTTTATATTATCCCTTTGCTGAGGTCACCCTAGTATTTTTACGTTCTTGTCTAAGTGCTACTGTACAAAGCTAAACGTTGTGCAATGTTTGTGAAAAAGCCAGCTTGCTCAAAGATGAGCGAATCCCTCTCTTTTCAGCTGCAGATGTCACCTTGAGCAGAATTCGTAACCTCTGTTGGCTCTATGGGTGACTAATGGTTACCTCTTTGTCCTAGTTCATTAATGTATTTCACCCAATCAGCTTAAATGACTAAATTAGCCATCAGAATGATAGCGCAGCGCCCTTAAACGTTCTCCACGTTCCCCTGCAGGTGTACACTTAGAACTGTGCGTAGTTAACTTAGCTGAGGGGTGATAAATTTGACGGTTAGCATTTCTATACTTCCAATCCTGGGGGGTTGAGAAATGTTTGCGGTCTGGATGATTTGTGTTGTATGTTTGATTTTCTGAAGCAGACATAAAAGTATTTATTTGGTTAGAATGTTGTGCTAAATGTATTTTGCAGTAGGTGGTAGCCACAAATAACAAATAACCCAGCAGAAATGACATAATCTTTAGTAGACATCAACAAACGCCATATGCTGCACAGAATTTCAGGTTCGTGCAGTTCATTTATCTATAACTGATCTCTAGTACATTCTCATTAAATAAACATTAGCTGATAGAACATTATAAAGTTATAGTTAGTAGTTGGTCTAGACAGAATCTGTCAAGCTTTTAAATATTTTCTAAGGTAATTTTGAGAAACAAAAAAGCAAATTTCTCAAAAAAATTTATTTTGCAGAAATACTTAACCTCATATGTTTCTGCAACAGGTCTGCTTCAGCAAATTTGTGGCAACTGCTAAACCGATACAAATAAAATCACATTCAAGAGCTATTAAAGTGCTGGTTAGATGTCATGTTAAAGAGTGTGTGACAAGAAACATCCTCATCGGTCAAATCGATCTCTCGACCACATGAGCAAAAAGAAAAGAAAAAAAAAAGCTGACATGAGACGATGGCTTGTTTTCATAGAGCAGGAAAGAGTAGCGCCGCATTTAGCTGTCTGTAAGCACAACAATAGTGTAGCGGTGTGCAAATATTATGATGCAAACTCTGTGACAGGAGATACGTTACACTTTTGTTGAATCGATGGACAGGGGAACCGGCCACACCCTGACTATAGAGACACCAGTGACTAAACTGATCATTTGTTTTACATGACAGCATTGCTTTTTAAGCGCTTTTCAATAACGTTTTGTTAGTCACGTACTTAAAAAAGAAAAAAGAAACTTTTCAAACAACATTTATCAATCATTTAAGTATTTAATTTATTTTTACAGTTTAATTCTCTGGAAAAGGAAATGTGTTCACCATTTTCAGATTTTTCAAAAACCTCAAAAAGCAATCTCTTTTACATTATTGTATTTTTAAAAAGAAATTGTAATAATATCTTCACTTTGAAAGTTTGTAGCTATCTGAAATAAGAAATACAATTTCCATGCAGATCATCAATATTTATCAATCACTTTTTTTAATTATTTTTAACTG